ATGTCGTTCATAAAGTGCTTAGAGAACAATTGCTATATCCATACCATAAGAAGCCAGTACAAGAATTATTAGTCCTTGATCCTCAAATTCGTTTGGGTTTATGTCGATTTGTTAATATGCAAAGAGAAAGAGATCCAAACTTTGTCAAGAAGGTTCTCTTTACCGATGAAGCGGGTTTTACAATAAAAGGTATAACTAATACCCATAATGAACATGTTTATGCCGTTGAAAATCCGCATGCAATAAAGGTAAACCATTTTCAGCACGAATTCAAAATTAATGTGTGGGCTGGAATAATTGGTAATTTCATTGTTGGTCCTGTCATACTTCCACGAAGATTAACTGGAGAAAATTATTTGGATTTTCTACAAAATACGTTGCCAGAATTGTTAGAAGATTTACCTCTCCAACTTCGGAAAGATATGTGGTTTATGCAAGATGGAGCTCCACCACATTTTTCTTTAAACGTTAGAAACCACTTGAATGAACAATATCCACACAAATGGATAGGCAGAGGTAATGACGCACCTGTAAACTGGCCACCACGTTCCCCAGACCTAACACCGATGGATTATTTTTTATGGGGACATCTGAAATCCACACTTTACAGGTAACCTGTAGAAAATGAGGAACAACTCTGACAACGTATTCAAGATGCAATAAACAATCTTAGAGGTGATGAAGAAGTTATGGAAAGGATACATTTTAATTTTCTTCGACGTATAAATCTTTGTATGCGTGAAAATGGTGAACATTTTGAACAATTTTTGTAAAATATCTATTTTGATTGTTGTAAATTAGTACATTACATAACAAGAGTAGTAAGAAGCTAATTACAGGCGAGTAGAAAAATTGCGCACGAGCTGCGTTAGCGGCGAGTGCAGTAATTCTACGAGCATGTAATTGCTCTTACAACTCGAGTAATGTACTATACTTTATCTACAACCACAATCATACATTCCTAATAACAAGAAGGCTTTCATAATATATAACATTTATTAAATACGTCTAAATAAAAATATTGTAAATTGCAAATGCAACTACTAAATTAACTGAAGAAAAATTGTTTCAAATACCAACCTTTGTTCATATTATTGTGAATGAAGAGCTTCATTTAAATATTTACTTATTTCATGAAAACAATTTCTGCCTTTAAAAACCGTTTGACTGCTTTTAATTTTGGGTACGTTTCAAAATTCACTTTATTTTATATGGAAATGACGATTCTTGACATAGAATACATTGCCTAAAATGACGCCGGTTTAAATTGTTCCATAAACTCCACAAAATATGCCAAAAGCACATTCTCAAAGAATTTCATGCCTTGCCCTTGATTTTAAAGGCTGCAAATTGTTAGTAATATTAGCAGCTTTTTCAAGAATATCAGGAAGAGTTCCTTGAAATTCATTTTTACTATCTGACAAACTCATTTTATTCTTTAAAAAAATAATTTTGTAACTACAAAAATGGCGATTTTTCTATTTCTGAAATGTCAGAACTATTTATCGAAACCATGGCGATCACCTAGCATTGGAATAATTTGGATAGTTTGATAAATGATACTGTTATGTAATATATATAATTACGTAACAGTTTTGGGATTTCATTACGTAACAGTAACTGTAATGATGTATTTACTTATAAACAAAACGATACATAATATACGATTTACTGTGGTGGTTGTAGATATTTTTGTGAAACCTATACACTCTAAATTATTAAAACAGAAATTTAGCGAAAACCATGAGAGTAATCGAGTCTTATCAAGAGTACCTTTTTTAAAGTAAATGAGTTGCGCAATCTAAATTTCATACTCAAACTCCTTTTCTTCCATTGGTGTAGAATTTTTAAAGGTGCAATTATTTAAAAAATCAAGTTCTACGCCTATGTATTATTATCGGACAAAATTTTAATACCATTTTTTTGCCCCATAAAACTCTACGAATATACCAAATTTCAGCAAAATCGCATATGCCGTTTTAAATTTATATGGGAAAAACGATTTAAAAATTGTAACTTCAAGGCCCTCTGGAGCCCAAACGAAGCAACTTTGTACTAAGGTAATTTTACTTAAATCGACTTATTTTGGTCGGAGGAATATGTGGTATGTTTTTGTAAAGACCTTTTACAGACATCCTGTATTACTATTACAATAATAATATGTGTTAAGATCTAGTTTAATATAGGAGGCTAGTATAAAGACAGAGATATTTTGTATAATTATGTAATACGTACATTGGATGTGATATACTTTTTAAACAAGGGCAGTTTTATTCCAAATAATCCAAGACAGAGATCTGTGATTATGTGTTGTATAACTGGCATATTTGATTGTGTTTTTGTTAGTTTTAGTGAAAAATAGTTCTGCAAAATTTTGAAAAAATTAGAATTTTTATTTGTTGAAAAACAAAGAAAATGAAAAATAAAAGAGAATTTTCTTATGATGGATTTATTTATTCTGTGGCGTCATGGCTTACTTCTGGTTCTTCCAGAAATAACAGGCAATTTATTTTTTATTTTTAAATGAAAACCCTTTTTCTTATTGAAAATTTGAATTTCTGGGACATTTTTGTATAAGAATGTATTGAAAATTTTCTGTCAGTAACATATTAAAAAAAATATTTTCCAATATGATTGTTATTTTGACAGCTGACAGAAAATTTTCAACACATGATTCTTATTCATAAATGTCCCTAAAATTCAAATTTTCAATAAAAACGGGGGTTTCTATTTAAAAATTAAAAATAAATTGAGATTTTCTGTTATTTCCAATAAAACAAAAGCAATCCATGAAGTCACACACCAATTGGATCCAGTATATGAGAGTATTTGTCCCAAGCCTTTAAACAAATAAGTTTTCATTCCAATATCTCAATTAACAACGAAGATAAAAGCGGATGGAATTATTAAACGGTTTGCTAATAATAAAGATTCTTAGATACGCCACTGGTATACGGTAAATGGGTCTCAATGGGAATTTTGAAGCCTAAAAAGATTTTATAAAGTTCGTACATTCCTATATGTTTTTCCATAAACGAATTAATAATAACATATTTAGAAAAAATATTATCCAATATGGCGGCCATTTTGATAGCTGACAGAAAATTGTCAATACACGATTATTATACAAAAATGTCCCAGAAATTTAAATTTACAATAAAAAAGAGGGTTTCCTTTTAAAAATAAAAAAAATCGATTTTCTGTTATTTCCGGAAAACCCGGAAGTAAGCCATGACGTCAAAGAACAGTTGAATCCATCATAACGGTGCATTTTTTCAACAAGTGTGCTGTGAACCTCCTACAATCGTCTGCCACGAGCCTTTCACGAACTATTTAGTAAGATTTAATATACGTAGTGAGCGAAACAAAGTAGATCATATCTGATCGCGAAGAACAAACGAACCACTCTATATTTAAAAATGAACACCTGTCGCTACTCCAATTAGCTTTTTTTCTGGGAAGATTTAAAAAAGATCCGTTAGGGGCAGCTCAGATTTATCCGAGATCAACCGAGTTTTACGATAATCACCGATTTTCCGACATGACAGCTTTTTCTATGGATATTTTATATTTCATTTATTTCTGTCTTTTATTTTATACTATTGATAAAATCCTAAATTTTGTTTATTTATTATTAATAGAGCTAGTAAAAACTATTATTTTTGAAAGAGCAAAACCAAATTTGATAGATTTTCACACTTTTATTTTAAAAATAAAAATTTTTTTTTTTTTTAAAACACTAACATGACATATGTTTCGAAGTACAACTTCTTTTTCAAATGTGACTATTTACAATTCGGTATCCAATATATATACGAAATAATTTAACAAAACAAAGTACTTAAGAAAACATCAATAACATTACAAAATAAACTAACTATTTAAAGTAAATAAGGGTACTTAGGTAATTATAATATCCATCAAATAACAATAAGATAGCCCATTACCGGGATTATCTCACAGAAAACTGGGAAAGAGGTTTAATAAGGGTGAATTATTAATATCTAATTGATCATTTAGTAAGTTATCTGAATTTTTAAATCTATTTATTTCAAGTGTTTCTAAATGGTTTAATTTAAGGCTCTTATTTTCTACATGTAAAATTTCAAAGTTGTCTGTAAAAGAATGATTTTCAGCTAATTCTACTTACTCAAATCATATTTTAGCTGAAAATCATTCTTTTACAGACAACTTTGAAATTTTACATGTAGAAAATAAGAGCCTTAAATTAAACCATTTAGAAACACTTGAAATAAATAGATTTAAAAATTCAGATAACTTACTAAATGATCAATTAGATATTAATAATTCACCCTTATTAAACATCTTTCCCAGTTTTCTGTGAGATAATCCCGGTAATGGGCTATCTTATTGTTATTTGATGGATATTATAATTACCTAAGTACCCTTATTTACTTTAAATAGTTAGTTTATTTTGTAATGTTATTGATGTTTTCTTAAGTACTTTGTTTTGTTAAATTATTTCGTATATATATTGGATACCGAATTGTAAATAGTCACATTTGAAAAAGAAGTTGTACTTCGAAACATATGTCATGTTAGTGTTTTTAAAAAAAAAAAAAAAATTTTTATTTTTAAAATAAAAGTGTGAAAATCTACCAAATTTGGTTTTACTCTTTCAAAATTAAATGGATTTTCATCAAGTAAAGGCCGAAACAATAAATAAAACTATTGTTGTTCTTTTCACTGGTTTTTATCGTTTTTATTCCTATTCTGCTCTAAATATGAATATCTAATTTATTTATTTATTTATTTATTTATTTATTTATTACGAAATGCAGCAACGAAATGCGCTCGAGGCTAGATTCGTCAAAGGTCGTTATGAGTTTTCTATCTCTAGTATAATCGTTGTATGAAGATATACATTCATACAAAGGTGTAATTATCTTTGGTTTTACATATTTCTACGGATTTTCCGTTAACCGATCTACAAAAGACGCTTTTCTGCTGTTTACAGAGTTCTACGGATTTTCAATAACCTGATCTACAGATATTGCGTGTCGAAACACTGTTATAACTGCACCATGAATAAGTATTTTGTGCATCGTTGGTGTCATTGGGTGCCAAGGGTACAGCTGCACATATAAGTGAGCATCTAATGCGTATTTGTCATATTTTTCCGGATCAATTCTATGTCCGCTCGAAATCGTTTCTAGTATGACCTTTAATTTAAAAATTAGATCATAACTAAATGTTCGGCTCATGTTTCCACCAACAAACCAGTTTCATTGCGAAATCTTTTCTGGATTTCCAGTTTTCCTTCTCTTTCAATATTTTTTTCCGTTTCTGTTTTTTTCCACTGGCAATTTATAAGCCAAGTGAAGAATGCTTTCAAAAAGACGAATCCTTGCATGTAGAACTGAAAGCCCAAACTCTGTAGCTTCATGATTAATCTGGTTTTTAAAATCTAATTGGTTGAAGTTCCTAGAGGTTGCACTACATTCTACCTACATTTACACCTGCATCCTGTAAGACCACTGGTAAAACGTTCTGCACAAAGTCCAAGTAAATTTTACCAATTAATCTATCATCAAAGGTATGAGGTCCATTTAGTTTATTTTTAGTGACACCGGACCAAATATTCACAGTGAACTTTTGTTGAGAATGACATTCCCTTATTGCAAAGGGATTTGCTTCTGCCCACATATGGGAATTTCTTAAATTATAAGTACCATCCCTTGTGAACTGGGATTCATCTATTAACAGACGTCTACCAAATATATCCAGTTGCAAAATGTATGTCGTAGTAATGCATCCCCTTCGTGCGGCCTTTGCACTTCTTGAATATGAATAGAATGAAGACTGTTTCGTTGATCGCCTCCCAACACTAGGATCTGGTATGTTCAGAGTATGACTAATTCTTCGGTTACTTATCTGTGGATTAGCCTGTACCATTTTTACAATATTATTAATCAAAAATTTTCTTTTCTTGGTTCTTCGTTCAGGAAATCTTCTTTCTTATTTGATTTTTGCAGATGAAGCGCTACCATTGCAAAAACCATAAACTAATACCATATCACAGTATTCACGATTAGAATATTGATGCGGCATTTTTTTAAATCATAGGACAACACGGAATAAACTAATGCAATTCCAAAAGATCGTACACTAATTGACGAAAACCAAATAATGAAATTAGAAATGACTACGAAGACTAGAGAAAAGGAGGCGAATCGGCATACTCAAAATACGGTCCCAAAAAACGCATGCTAATTGAGCTTCTATAATTAACCGCATGGGCGCTGGTGCTGCATACGTTGTTCAAAATACATGGCTTCTTATGGGAATTATACCTAATTTTGTCAAAATAATAAAAATAAACTTGTTTACAGGTAGATAAAGCACAGAACATACTGTTGTATTTATTTCTAAATAAGTGTTGCATGTTTTAATTGATAAATTATTTAATTTTATCTATATAAAATACAAATTAGGTATGCATGACCAAATTCGAAAAGGTTTCTTAATTACTGAAATTTGATAAGTACAATTTTTTGGCAAATTTTTTTGTGAATTGAACTAATATATAATTTTAAGAGTAAAATAAAATACAGTTTATTGTTGTAATACAAGTATAAAGGGAGATTTGGGAATGTACATGGTATTACCTCATCCTTTAATTTCAGCTTTCCCCTTTTTATTTTGCTAACAGTACCATCAGTAAAATTATTCTCATAATATTTGATAATATCTTCTAAAAAGTATAGAACAGCATCATCTCTAGAAAGTGCTTTATCGGCACTAGGAACGATATATATGCTGCCACTGTTCTAAACGTTTAGTATCCTATAAAAAACACTTAAAATGACACAATTGGGGTTCAATAAAAAAAATAATAGTAGCAACTCTTTATCTAACATTAAAACTCTATAAAAAATACATTTTCTTTTCTAGTAAGTTAAATTTAATGCGTAATTATTGTTGTTTGTAAGTTAGGATCTATAACTGTAAAATTTTATATTATAGAAACTTATAATAAAATAAACTACACTTCGTAAGATACATATTGTGACTAGTTTACAATAAATATTATATTTAGACATGAATACATTATTTTTCTTACATTAGAAGCTTTAAAAAAGCATTGAGTTGATTTCTTCATGTGTTTTCTTTAGTTTTACATTTGATTTTTGTCCTGTTTTACAATCTGAAACGACGTAAATCTTGCTTTGATGTTTTTTGTCACTCATGTTACTTGTACTCAGGTACTTTTTTCACATTATTTTGATTCTTTTTATCAATTTTTTAAAAAATCACTTTATTTTACATTGACTTGCATAGAAAATTGACACCGCTGTCATTCGACATGCCAACTACAGTCAGTTTCGCGAACTTTATAAAAAGAAGGACGAAAATTTGAAATTTGACCATTGCCGATTCGCCTCCTCCTCTCTAGTCTTCATAGAAATGACAAACTAGATATCTTAATTTCATAGCCTTCATTTCAGCTTCAGTACCTTCTTGTGAATGTATTTTAGTAATATAATTACAATTTTATTAACAATACATAGTTGTAATTAGTACGAAGTCATAACAGCAATAATTAATTTTTATTGTTTTTTACAATTTTCCAGTTAGTGTGGATTGGGCCTATTGAATGGAGTGCCTAATTTGAAAATCTTCAATTTTTTCATGTATAAATGTAAAAATTAAATAATTAATGATTAATTATTAAATTAATATGAATCATTTAAATTTTCTTAAGTACGGATCTGTAATTGAAATTTTTATTGTTTTTTGTGAATGTTACTTGAAACTGAATAAGTTTATTACATGAATTTCTATCATAAAGTTAAGTAAAATTAATTTTAATGAAAAACTAATTAGAACCCCTTCAGCTACATTTTGCATAAAATAAAATTCTCATATTGTACATTTTAACATTAAAATTTTGGTAGTAAAACGGCATGCGGAAAAATAAAAAGTTGATGAATGTATTCAGTTTCCAAATTTGAAATTCAATTTTTAAAAATTTGATGTGTTTTAGGCTGGGTCAAATTTTAATAATTTTTGTTAAGCCAGACCTGGATTTTTAAATTTTAATGTATCGATAAATTGTCCTATAGGTGTAGATTATCTATGCCAAATATCAAAAAAATATACTGAGTGATTCAAAAGTTATGGAGCACGGAAAAAATGTGCCAAATTCAAAAAACTCATTTATAAAGGTCGCAAGACCCATACTATTATGGGTTTTTTGTGATTCCCTGGGTGACCTCTATATAGGGTCAAAGTATTTCCCTTTCCCAGCGAAACACCTTGTATAGAAGAAAATACATACCAAACACTGAAGAATTCTTTTAGTTGTTTTTCTTAATATCGTTCTATTTTTCGTTTTTTTTTTCTTAAGGAGGTCCTTTCGCCACCAATGTTATATAAAAAATATTAGATTATGACTAAAATTAATTTTTTTCTAATAGTAGATGTCCTTATGTATCTAATAGTGAACTTTTAACTATACCTTATATTTTAGAGAAAATTTTTTTTTAAAAATGTGTGTTTGTACAGTGTCTTATGAGAAAGTAAGACTTCAACAACAATTTTCGAATTATAATTAATTTTACTATTATGTATTGATTAGATGGAGTAGAAAAAAAACTAAAAATAAGGTTTTTGAAATATTTAGGTTTTGTTTTTTACAATAAAATATATAGGTTACCGTGGAATTTATTGAGAAATTATTATTAAAAAATCACTAGGTTACTTGAAAATTTTTTGTGATTTTTTAATATTAATTTCTCAATAAGTTCCACGGTTTACTATATATATTTTATTGTATAAAACAAAATCTAAATATTTCAAAAACCTTATTTTTAGTTTTTTTTCTACTCCATCTAATCAATAAATAATAGTATAATTCGAGAATTGTTGTTGAGGACTTACTTTCTCGTGAGGCACTGTACAAATACTCACATTTTTAAAAAAAAATTTTCAAAAATTTGCAAGGTAAGGTATAGTTAAAAGTTCAGTATTAGATAAATAAGGACTTCAACTATTAGAAAAAAATTAATTTTAGTCATAATCTAACTTTTTTTTTAACATTTGAGGCGAGAGGTGTGGCGAAAGGACCTCCTTAACAATAATTTTAGAACGTTTTACTAAAAACACGTCTTATCTTTAAATCTACCGATTTTTTAGAACACGTTATCTATCTAAAACAAAATTTTGGTGTGAGTAGGAAAAAGATGGAGCTGTCGTGTAGGGCACTCTCACGAGTTAGTGAATAGGTATCCTGTGTTGTCATTGGGATTCTCATCTTTCGTACTCGGGATATCCTGAGAAGCTCACTATTCGCTAGAAAATAATCGAATTAAATGGAGTTGGGTATCGATCTAGACGTGAAAATAAGGCTACCTTGGCGTTTTATGTTTCTTGGTTGTTGTTTTGTCATTAAATGGTGTTTTTGGTTAGAAAGTGTTTCATTTGAAATATTTTATTTAATAATATTAAGTTAATGTATAAAATTTTTGTCATCTCTATTAAATTAGATGTTTAGTAGAATACATATTAAGTTGTTTTAAAATACAGTAAAATGAGTGGAAGACACTTGTGTGCCTCAATGCAATCCTGGTATAATTATTTAATGAAAAAAATGGCATTCTGTTACATTTCATCAGTTTCCTAAAACCGGTAGATGTAAGGTAATTTTGTAATATAAAAGTGGAAAATCTGACCTTGTGGATGCAAGAAGAGTATGCTTCAAAACTTGAAAATAGGGAAGTAAAATTTATGAAAGGAAAGTTTGTTTTGTAATTTTTTTTATGTTGCTGCTGCCACATCTCAAATAAAAAGAAACTCTCCTTTAAAACTGCCAGTTGTTAAGGAACATTCTTATGACTCTGTTCCATCTACTTCAAAATCTAACAAAGACTAATAAAAATAACTCAAAATAAAAAAAAATCCCAATCAGTTTGAATCTAATAATTAGAACACACAATAAGGGTTAGTTAATGAAAGTGATTTGTTTCAAGATAAACTAGTAACTCCTCCTGAACAAGACATAGAAGATGCAAATTAATATTTTGCAGTTAATAAAAAGTGTTGACAGTAGTTAGTGTACAAGTGAAAATAGTAAAAAGTAAAATTTGTACCATGTGTTGATTTATTAGAGTTTAGAAATTAAAATAGTGTAAAATTTACATTAACCATATCTAAACCTACCAGAGTAACCAAAATTTCAAAAACATTACTTAATGTTATATTTTTAAAAACTGTCTGGTTATCATGCT